AAAATAAATATCATAAGTTATGACATAAGTTATGAGTTAAGAAAATAAATAACTTAAGTTATCAAAATAAATATCATAAGTTGTCATAATTTATGACATGAGTTATGAGTTATGAAAATTAATAACTTAAGTTATCAAAAATAAATCTCATAAGTTATTAAAATAAATGTGAGTCATAAATAAAAATATAACACTTTCTTCTTCCTTTAGTCGCAACGAACTACTGTTTGCACTTCTCTTCCTCTGTCCTGAGGAAACCCGAAAAAGAGCACAAAAATTGTGACTAAGAAAATCAAAAGAGAGCTGACGCGATGCCTTTTATCGCGAACAGGAAGCGGAGAGGCGACGTTTCGCGAAACAGCAGGGAGTCTTGACTATTCGCGATTGGACGAAGAGACGCTTCGCGCACGCGGGAGCATCTGGAGGCTGGAGCGGTTTCACAATTGAGCGGGAGCGGGAAGGCGGGATTGGCGGAAGCGAGATCGGGCTCGCTCCAGTTTAATGAGTAAAGTCAATTTTTCTTCTCTTACCCGACACCTGCAGCGAATGGTTATGAATAAATAAATCAAAGTTGCCCAACACACATGCTTTAGAAATTAAAATAAAAATAAAAAAAATAAATTGTCGTGAAATAAAGGCTGCTAACGATGATTATAAAAGCTTCTTTGCTTCTCGTTATTTTATAACTCAAATAATGCTAGGAAAAAGTATTTAGTCTTCTTAAACTAAGCATTAGTTCACTTGATTATAGGAAGAGTTAGTTCATTAGAGGGCAGTCATCTCTGCTAAGAGAGTATAAAATAGAAATATAAATTAATATTTATAAATTGAGATTAACATTAATACTTATAATGTTAATAATAATCATAATAATATTAGAATTAAGATTAAATAATAATAATAATAATAATAATAATATGACAAATAGTTTTAAATCCAATAATACTGATAATAAATATAATAATAATTATAACAATAACATTAATAACAATAAAATTAATATTAATATCAACAACAACAGTAATAATAATCAAACTATTAAGCTAATTTTTTAATAATAATAACAACAGTATAATATTTTAATGATGACATTAGCTAATCACAATTTTATAATAATAAGACCATAAGAATAACAATAATAAGAACAACAATAAATCATAATAATAATAATAATGGCAATGATGATAATTGTAATAATAATAATAATAATGATGGTAATAATAAAATAAAATAAGATGTATACGTAAACACTAATCTCTCGGCGTGCCTATAGTTAAATTTTCTTACATGTGTCGAATAGAGAACACACATAAACATTAATATTCTATGTTAGTTCAACTTAAGTTTTCTAAGATAAGTTGGATAGAAAACATGAGTCGGGAACTTTCATCCTTCATTTTATTTTATGATGAAAGATTATTTGTATTTGATGACTTCAAGCCTAGTTATGTCAGAGGTAATCAACGACCTTTTTATGTCACGATGCAGTAAAACTTCGTGCAACTATGCAATAGAGTGATGTGTGCTCCGAAGGGAGATAATCAAAATACACAATATATCTATGATATGGGGGTTTCTTATGTGTCAAGGATTTGTTGCAGCCTGAAGAATACAATGTGATAGGGTGTGTATTACTTGTAGTCATGCAACAAAATTTGGGTTTTACATAAAAAAATTGAGAGTTATGATAATTTTACACAGAGTTGCATCCAATTTCTACCTGCAACTCAAGTTTTTCTTTCATCTCAAAATGTGCCTCATGGCTACATTGACTTACCAATGTCAAGTTCGATGAATTATCAAGCATATAGGCATTCTGCATTTCACTTCACTTATAAAATATTTACATTATTTTGTAAGTTTTAATTACTCATAAAAAAAATTGAAATTGTCTCAATCCTACTAGATGCTCAAGGGTTGAACCGAGTCATCGTCCAAGACTACACATTGATGATATAACACAGGATGATATTCATATTAGTCAAGAAAGGGAAGGATACAAGATAATGAATAGTGCCACAAGAAATGGCTCGGATAGTGATTCTAACATTAGAGTATATGCACCAGTGAGACAGATGTAATAACTGAAATTATGGGCAACAATTTGATCAGGACACGTTCTATAAATAATGCCACCATGTTAGATGTTATGATTTCAAAAACGAATATATTTGAGCAGTCGTACAACCAAGGAGTGGAATGAAGATATCACTTGTGAGCGTCCAACAGGTCACTTAAATATAAAATTTAGGGACATATTCCATATGTGTTGTAAAAAGATATGATTTTCACAGCCAACACAAACTTACAATATACAATGACAGGTTGGTGTATACTTAAGAACTTCGAGTATAGAATTATAAATTCCAATAAATCTCGTTTAAGTATTATGTGCCTTCACCACGATCATCCATGTAGACCGTGACATTGGTGTTTGCATGCAACAAGGAGCAATTGACTTTTATGAGCGTGGAAAATATTAACTAGTAATGGCCACCACACAATGTGCATAAGACTCTATCTGGTGGACATAGGCAGTGCCCTTCCCAATTCATTTCTCATTACATGCTTCCTATTGTTAGACGTCTATTTGGCTCGAAGCCTTGAAAAATTATTGCTCAAATAAAAGTTAAATTTAACATTTGAATAACTTATATGAAGGCTTGGAATGTGTGATGAAAGGTTGTCAAGTTTTTATTTGGTAGTTGGGAGGAGTCATATTACTCGTTGCATAAGTTGATGACAACCATGTACAATGCAATGTCAGGGTCAATTTATAAGATTCAATCTGAAAGCACGTCACGCTTTCAACGCCTTTTTTGTACCTTTAGGGCATCTATAGACAGTTGAAGTAGTTGCAGGTTGGTATTGAGTCTCAATGGCACATCCTGGCTAAAACTTTACCGAGTGTTGTTGGTGTTAATGCAAATAATGACCTTTTTTTCTCTCGGCGTTTGCGATAATTGAATTGGAGTGCAACAGATCTTTGATATGGTTTCTAAAAATTGTATTTGAGCTTCTACCAATAGACATGTCTCACCCAAACCTTTGCATAATATCATATCGACATTCTGGGATTGCCGTTGTAGAGAAAATATTTTAATGGGTGATTCAAGTATTTTGTTTGAGGCACCTCAAAGAAAACCTTAGAAAAGCAATTAGACTTAATATAGTTGAGACAGACAATTCTTTCATGGATACTTATGCATCTAAGTTCCATATTATACCCGAGCGAGCATTGTGGCCTAATTTTAATCTAGCAGTTGGCACTATTAAGTTAGCACCCCTAAATTTTAGATGAAGAATTGGGAGACCACATAAAATGCGCTATACAAATATGATGGATGAATGTACTTCATCGAGACACAAAATATGTTGCTTGTGTCGTTGTGTTGGACACAATAAATTAATTTGCCCATCAAACACAAAAATATATATAGTAACGTGACCTGAATAATGCAATGCTCTTATCAATAAATTTTAATTGACAATCATTCATCTTTTACACGCAAACACCATGGAAGATGATAGGCGTAGATGGGGATGTATAGATGGTGCGTCACAATTTTGATGACATACGACACGACCTAGCGAGGAGCCTGAGATTGGGTTAATACCTTGCGGGAGGCACCCTGACTTCGCTTCACTACGCGAGACACACGGAGCAACACACCCTGAGGAGGTATTATTTGATTAATTCTAATATTTAATTCACTTGGTGTTACTATTTATGTCTAATTTTAATAATTTTTAAAATTTATTTATACATGACACTATTCTGTAGTCGACCTCACATCTACTTATGGTGAGCGAGTGGCATATTTCATTTCCACGCTTTTATTACAACTTTGATATTAATTGGCTTTGACTGCATCAGACAACTTCAATGTATTATGTAGATCACCATCTACTTACAGGCGCTTGCAGAGCATTGTTCTCTGGAGACCAACACGTTTCAGTTGCTCGTTGGGGAGATGACAACCACTTCACAAGATGTAACAAATGATTTCATGGATCAAACTAGATGGTCTGGCGTTGATAGCCTGAGAGTTATCGGCCAGAGAAGAAGATGAGCCTCATGGAAATAGTAATAATAGTAATAATATTAATAATAATAAAAACTAAAATTAATAGTAATGATGATGATGACGACGACGACGATGACGACGACATAATAAAATAAATTTAAACACTGCAACGACGACGACGACGACATAATAAAATAAATTTAAACACTGCAAAATCCTCATAAAGAAAGGATTTGAAAATTTATATTCAATATTTTAGATGATTGTTATTAAAAATCCAAAAAAAAAAAAAAATCCTCAAGTCGTGAACTAAACTTGATCAAATGAAAATAATTTCTCCACCTCTAACTCAGGATAAACGAAAATAAAAAAAAAAAATAAATAAATAAACGAAATGGGACCAATTGGCCAGAAGCTTCACACGCACAGTTAACGCCCCTTCAAGAATGCCAGCATGCTCCAGACTCTCGCAGACAGTTTAAAGTTTGGAATCGAAACCATTATATATGCACAGAGAAGCATTACATAGAAGATAAATAAGCACCATCTCAAGTTACTGACAGCAGCACCTGCTGCAACAATCACAACATCGTCAAAATTTAGCTTCAATCATCCAGGAAGATTTATAATATGTGTTAAAATTGAGCAGCAATGTGATGTTGTGTGAATTTCTACAAATTCACAAGCTTAAACTATTAAGAAATAAGGACATTTACATACATAAGATATAATTCTTATATATTTACGCATATAATACGTAAACATTCATATTTATTTTTATGCACACCACTCCAATGTTTTACATCGCAAAAAAATATATCATTATTACTAAGTTCTAAGAATGAAATGCACATTTTCATGCATGAATTTATATCACCCAAGTGTTATACATTTTAATATAAAATTTCAGGTGTAAGATGTGTAAATATCTCAAACGTTTTTGACATTTATGTAAAATTCTCTAAGAACAAATCACACTATTACTATATCAGGATTCAAACTCCTAGTTTCTTTATCATTAGTGAGCTTAAATTGATGAAAATAGTGTCAATTCAGTTCTTTTACTTTTTAAATAGGGATTAAAATAGTCCAATCATCTAAACTAACAAAAACTTAAATTAACAGTCATAAAATGTGTTTTATAAAAATATTTTTTTTGTTTGTAAATTTTGTAGTAAACTTAATTTCTTACATTATATGCTCTTAGACAAACTTCACATACAAAAAGGAATGGATTGAGATCATGCAGATTGTAAAAAAAAGTTAAATCTTTTGTAATGAATAATTTTGTTTGGCATTTTTATCATCTTGATTCTACAGCAACAAAATATATTGAATTTAACTTTTTCTTGCAGTGAGAATAAGGTAAATTGTTAAACATGGAAACCTCTATATGTACTCAGGGTCTAGTCTTTAGGGGGGTTTAGGGTTAGTAAATAGTTACAAAGTACAGTCATTTATTTATGAGAAAATCACGAAAAACCGAGCATCATTACAAGATAACCATGGAACCATTACTAGCATTCTATCTGAATTTGTTAAAGCATTACGCACTACAAACCATCACAGACTAATTGCTTTCATGAAAATCACCAACATGAAAAGGATATTTAGAAGAACAACAGAAATTAGGAAGATTTAAATATATACCACTCAATTCTTATATATGAAACCTCACCTATGCATGAAAAGACGTATTTCACTTTTCAAAAGTAAATATAGTGGTATTTTTTATGTGATATGAAAGATTTGAGCGGTATAAATGTAAAAAAGTAAAGTTTAGGGGTGAGATAAGTAAGAAAAAATAGGAATCGGTGGTATGTATGTAAATGCCCCAATACAAAACTGGCTAAAAAGATCAGTTTCTGTAGTAGCAATAATGAGTTTTTTTTTCCCCATTATAACTCAAACGGGCGTGCATAAAAATTAAAACTTACAAACAACCTCCAGAGATAAGAAAATATTAGGATCTGGTTCTGGGGTTATCCTAATGCATATATCTATTATAATACAGTAAATTTTAAAGGGCCTCACCCGGAAGTTTTGTTTGCTACGCCATTATCACAGAGTTGTGCTTTGCAATAAATGTGTGCTTCAGGAAGCAGAGTTGGAGGCTCATTTTCTTTCTCCGCATCATCGGTGCCATTATGACTCAGAAAGTTCGGTAGGTTGGGCGAAAAAGAAAGCTCATGGTTGGATTTCTTAAAACCATTTTCCCCATCCAACAACTGAGTTGGTGGCACATCTTCCTTCTTTGCATCTTCAATGGCGTTTTGACTCAGAAAGCTTGGTTGGTTCGTTGAAGAGAGCAGCCTTGCCCACATTCTGTCTGTAATTACAACCTTGTTTTGCGTTTCAGTGATCCTCTGCAAAAATGCGGGTTGAAGTAAATAAATCAGAAATTTAGGGGCCTTTTGGGATAACTTTGGTTTTAAACTTTCAACTTTTCATTTTCATTTTATTTTATTTATATTTTGATTTTAAACAAGATATGTTTGTCTATCTGATTAAGGTATACTTGTTTTTAAAAACACTTAAAACATTCTTATGTTATTTTGAGTGTTGTTAAAAATATGTTAATTTATTTTTAGAAACAAAATAAAAAAATAAAAACATACTAAAACAAACCTATTTTGAAAAACAAAAGAAAAAAAAAACATACAAAATAAACCCTTTGTAATTATTTTTTTCCAGATCATCTAAACTATAAAAGATAATCCTCATATTTAAAAAATTCAATCTTAAAATCCCTACAAATCTTTTTCCAAGGCTTCAATGCATAAATTTACAACTAAGGCCATCAATTCTGCAAAATTTGATGACCTGTGAATCATAATTTCAGCTGCTCAACAAATCTAAATGAGTCTGAAAACTACAAATTTTATTTGTTATGAACTAGGACATCAATCATCCTGCATATAAAGATGTCATCAACATGAAAGAATTGTGTGCTAGTATGTAAATTTCCCATAAAATAAAAACGTTCAATTCAAAAGATTTTAATCAACAATTAACCGTTTCAGTGAATGTGGACTTTCAGGATGAATGCATGTTTCTATAAAAATACACTAATACTATGGCGAAGATAAAAAAGCAAACTTACGTAAAATGGAATATAAGCATGTCTGCCATTAACAGGCGCCACTGTAAAACCAGTATAACCTGCCATTGCACCGTGTACAGCACTCTGAGCCAACAAAGTGCAGTACACGTTATCAGAAGCATTGCTGGGAACTGCACGGATCATGTATGTTGGATCTGTAGACACAGCGAGGACAGACGATTTTATGACAAAAGGATTAAATTTTAAAAAAAAAACAAAATTTGCCAAAATGATTCACTAACAATTTACAAGGAACCATTTGTTTAAAATCTATAAAAGTGTCGAATTAGTCCCTAAATTCTTTTAATAAAAGATAAAATAGTCGTCTTTAAATTAAGTATAAGACTATCTCAAATCATTTTTAAAACGATTGGAAATTAATCTGGCCCTTTTATAGGCCTTGAGACTAAAATGACCATTTGCAAAGAGTTAATAGTCTGCCCTTTAAACAATTCTAAGATTATCTCAAATCATTTTAAATATTGGAGACTAATTTGGCCTTTTTACAGGCTCCGAGACTAAGATGACCATTTGCAAAGAGTAAAGGGATCATTTTAATATTTTTCACATACAAAAAAATATCAAATAAAACTAGCTCACCAATATACTTGAGATTTATGATCATCTTCTTCTTGCTCGAGAAGTAGTGCTGTAAGTCATGAAAGCATAGAAATATTCACAAAAGCTATTCAAGAAACTTCTCAGGTAAACTTTCTAACCATAAAAATCACATAAAATAAACGAAATTGAGGTTTCATAAAATTATGAAACATATAGATCTTGTTATTATTTCATTACAACAATGCTGAATATACATACCTTGATCTTCTGAGATAACCATAGGCCGATATCTTGAAGCAGCTTATTTCCAGAAGCATCTTCATGATCCATCGAGCGCATGCTTTCAGCAATAAGCTCTTGTCCCGCTCCTTCAGCAACAACAATAACCATGTGGCCATTCTCTTTGAGTCTCTTCTCTATAAATTCAAAAAGGCCACCATTTCCTTCCAGATAAAAGGGTGACTCAGGAATCAGGCAACAGTCCTAGGAAAGCAGCATAACAATGGGGGAGGGAAATGAGCAACGTATTTTAGGTACAAAGAAAAAAAATAAAACATCTTGGTCTCAGCAGAAGAGGGTTTAGTGCATGGAATGAAAGAAAATAATCTTTTGAGAATAGCAAGCCCTGTTCAGAAGCAAGACTAAGATTGTTAAACTCCTATTTGAGATCATTTTATTTTATTTTTTCCTTTAAAAAAATTATTTAATGTATCTTTCATCTGCTTCTATTATTTATTTTTTAAATATTTAAAAAAATATTTTTGAGTATTATTTAGAACAATCATATGAACAAGCCAAACATGTTTTATTAAAAAAAAGAAAACAATTTAAAAATAAAAGTGATTAAAAATAGCCCCTAAGGGCTTGGTTTGGACAATTTCTATTTTTTCATTATTGTTTTTAATTTTTATTTTAAAAACAACATTGTTTAATGTATTTTTTGTTTTGAAAAACAAATTAAATTATTTTTAAAACACTTAAAATAATTTTATTTTGAGCATTTTTAAAAACAAATAAATATATTGTACCAAACATGTTTTATTTCAAATAAAAATATAAATAAACTAAAAAAATAAAAAAAACAAAAATGAAAAACAAAAAGTGATCTCAAATGACCCCTAAGCCAATCAAAGAAAAATTAAATAATTAGAAACAGAAAAAAGATTAAAAATTTCAACATACCACATCTCTGCTTGCGAGAGTTGCATACATTGCAATGAACCCTAGAACAAAATCACAAACATTAAGTTTCAGATTAATAAAGGAAAGTTTGACCTACGACAAAACATGTTACAAAATCACTCAAAAGCTCTTAAAACACATGAAGAAAAACTGAAAAATAAGCTTGTTACTTGGTGAATATGAACAATGCAATGCAAATTTAGTCCTACAAAAATTCGCACCTCAAGCAGATTTGAAAATTTTACATCTCCCAGAAAAATAACAAAAATTTACTTAATGAACTTGGTAAAAAGTCAACTATATGTCATAAAATATGGCTATCAAGTAATACCGTAAGAATTGTTTTTTCAGTTGGTTTGGCCATTGCTATATTGATAAATACTCTTATAACAAGAACAATGGCATAAACAATACAATTCAACAGACTAAACCAATGTAGCATGGATACTTGAAAAGGCCTCCGACGAATGTTAGATACAGACATGCCCCAATAAGTGTTCAACCCATTAAAGAATGTGGCTGTTATATTTTTTCTTTCTAGTGGAGACAAATAAGGCGGGGACATGCCAAGTTGTTTCTCGTTTAGTAAATTTCTAGTTAATGGGTATCCTAGTACCAATTGTGTTGGCCCAATTAGTGATATATATCAATGTTCTTACATTATGTGATTATATATATATATATATATTCCCCGATTCATATATATATATATATATATATAATCACAATGTAAGAACATTGATAGATAGATAGATAGATATATACTTTTTTTTCGTTTTAGCCTATATGCTGATGCTGATTTTGATAAATTAATGTTTAATGATTAAGAAAAATTAAAATATTGCTGGCAATTAAGTGAACTTTATGAAATATTAAAGCATATTTATAATTTTTAGCCTCTCTTTTAAATAGGTTGAACCTCAACCTTAGTTAATTAGAAATCTTAGCCTTACAACCCTCGAAGTCATGTTTCCCTAAGTGATTGAACCCGTAAACTATACTTAGGCTTGATATAACTTGAGACATTCTAGAAATCCATAGACTACACTTCATCTTGTTGTGATTTTAGATCATAGCCTAGCAACCCTAAGTAGACATATAGAGGGCCCTAAAATGTTTTGAGTGGGCTAACCCTAGTTAACTTGTCTAGAGCCAAAGCATTCTTCATTATGACATCCCATAATAAAATTTAACCTAAAGATTGATAAAATCACCATAACCTATCAAACCATCGGATTTAACCCAAACCATGAAATGAGCCTTAGATGTGCTAGCTAACCATAATTGGCCAAGCCTAACTAACTTGGAAGCTTAGACACAACAACTAGGCAAATTTACCTAATTAAAACCTAAAATGCACCTAATCTAACGGTATGTATCCCAACAGACCCTATTGATCTAACCAAGCAAAATGAACCCTATTGAAAATAAGGTAAAACCAAAACTTAATTGACCTAGCTAGAACCCAAATTACTCAAATTGGTTTGATTAGATCCTTCGTATGACCCAGTGTGTCTCCCTAATGGACTAGCTTGATTTAATCTAAGCAAGATCTAATCCAAACCTAGGCCTAAGCAACCAAGTGAGTCAATGTTCGAGTTAACCCAGACAAATCGTAATTAAAAGGATCCTAAGCCTTCCAAAGACTTACATCGACCTAGAAATGGTAAACTAGATCGATTGACCCATCTCATACTCAAATCTTAACCTAACCAAGAATAAATTAAACCTAAATACCTTAGTTCAATTGACTTGGCTAGAACCTAGTTTGCCCAATTGATCTAACCTATATCCTTCATAGGACATAAATCAAGACCTTAATAATTAACATGATTGAATATCATCATCGCCTTATTGTGTCTTTTATGTTTGTTACCATTTATTTCTTGTTTTAAAGAGTCGTCGTTGTAACCCATTTAAATTTCAGCAAAATTATTTCTATTTCTAGTATGGTTTGAGTTAACTCCAATATTAGCCCAATTGGAAGGCCATATGAATTATGGAAGTACAATGCAGAGCGATGAATCAAAAGGTTCCAAGCCATTTAAATGCCCCTATATTACTAACCATACCATTCCCAATTGATTATGCATCTAAGGTCAACGCTAAGCATCCTTAGGTCTCTGACGTTATGTGATGGATATTATTGCAAAGTGATGTGCTATAAGTCTATAACATTCGCCAGATTTCACTGTGCTAACATCGCAGTGTTTGATGATGAAGTAAGACGCTGTTTGCGATAGGCTTGCCAAGCTATGCTACAAATAAAAACAATGTGTTGAATGTAAATGATATGAAAACCTGTAAGATTTCATAGTAGAAGCCTACAGATGAAGCAAAGTTGAAGACTATCTTGCTTGAATAGTTTAAATGTTCAACTACTATTAGAGTGAAAGCAAGGAACTTTTTTACTTTATAAAGTTTAATAATCAAAGCAAATTCTTGTTTATTGCTTTCATATTAACTATTTTATAATACTTTTTTAGATCAGGCTCTTTGGTTTAATTTGCTTACCAAGTAAAACCAATGCAACTAAAATAAACCCTTGTAATCTTTTTCAAATAAAATAATGTATGTTCACCCTCTCGGCCGAAATTTTAAAACCTAAAAGAATTTGTCTCTTTCTCCGACGGCCAAAATTTTTGAAGCATATGGCTATTGTTTATTAGCAATTAACTAATCAAAGTAAACATGAACGTCATGCTTGTAAGCAAATTTCGACCAATACACAACATTTACAAGCCTTATGTTATCAGCCACTATATAGTTATTGCTCATAGTAGGTTAGATAACAACAAAAATTGCAGACCTTTCAATAACACTCTCATTTTGTGAGTGAATAATTTTGCCTAATTGGTAATAATTGTACGTTTCATTTCTTCATGACCGCATCTAACCTATGCATGCAATTTAGAAACTTAAACAACACTACTGTATAGTAAATAGAGAGACCGTGATTCTGAACCCTATTGGTTAAGGTGATTAAACCCCTCACAGGCATATTTCTTGCAGTTAAAATAATAGACTTCCAAAACTCTTAGTACTGCATTAAAATTAGGAACCTTTGTATTTTATAGATTTAAGTCCATACTATGGGCAACCTTCTCATGACATGACAAAGATGCAAGTCCCTAAATGTCATTAGTTTGGAAACAAATATCCCTATGTGTATGTAATGTTATAAACTCTCTCACCGAGCAATTCCTTGATAGTATTTCATTATTGTTGTGGAAGTACAACTGCCAAAGCCTAGAAATTGAATCAACTTGAATATAAAGTTTTTTTATACATTGATTATCATTAATAAAATAGTATCTTGAGCAGCTTGATAGATGAAAGTTAATTCTCCGAATATTTTCTCCTTTGGAATTTTAATATTCTTTCATCAAGTTAAGCCAATCTCTAATTAAATTCTTACATCAAATCTTTGAGAGTAAAGCATTGAAACTATACGGGTTAGACTTTAATCGAGATTATTCTTATGAAACACTCCTAAGATGTAATTAACAATAAGAACTTAACCTTTAAAAAAACTTAAACTTCATTTAGTTTCCTTGAAACACTGAAATAATAATAATAATAAAGTTTAGTTAAGTTACTTATGCTCTTTATGTGAAATAATTGAGAATATATGCCTTCCATTGAATCAGTGAGAAGTTTCTCTCTCACATCATGGTACATTCATCCCCAAGGAAGCATTTTTAAAGCCCGCAACAATCAAACAACTTTTGATTTTCCTTATGTTGATCTTTAAGCCTTTTAAGTAAAATGTATAATATTAAACTTCATTTTGCAATATTTTCTCTATAGAAAATATTGATAGTATGTGCTCTAATTCTGTTGATATGTACGCAATTTTTAAAATTGTGGGTCCGTTGTTACACTTGAGGGAGAACTTATTACCCCTTAATTATTATAGTATGTGCTCTGATTCTGTTGATATGTATGCAATTTTTAGAATAAGATTCTTCTTGTGTTTCACACTTCCTCTTCCTTTCACATATGACAGTGTGTCATCCGCGATTCTAACTTCAGCATAGTGCTTGCAATTATGGAAGGATTGGAAATCAGCGATATCACCTATAATGTGATTAGATTTCCTAGAATTTACTATCCAAAACTGATTCTTCTTGTTGAGAGCAACAAGAGAAGATGGAAGACTATCGTGATGTGCTAGAAAGCTTGTAGAATGCTCAAAGAATTATCCCAGAGGCCTTCGTAGAGCGAGGTGCTAACGAGAATCTACACTTTAGAGAACCATTATTGAACAGAGAAGAACCTTTAAGTTCCTTCTAGGACAAAACAAAAAGCTAGATAAAGTCAGAGGAAGAATCATGACAACCAAAACTCTTCATGAAGCCTTTGTTGAAGTACAAAGGGAAGCGAGAAGGAATAAACTCAAGATGAAAATAATTCCACCACATCAAATGTTAACAACTCCACTTTATACACTCACAAATCATCACAGAGCAACAAATCAAAGAGGAACATGTCATCGTGTAAACATTGCAAGAAACTTGGCCACTTGAAGGAGAAGTATTAGAAACTTTATGAAAAATCTGCAGATTGGAAGCCCAACGAAGTCAAAGGTGATGGGAAAAATCCGACAATCATAACATCAAAGAAAGTCAAGCCTCGTGAAAAATTCATTCAGTAAGGAACAACTTGAAGCACTAAAAAGGCCTCTGGGATAATATTCTGAGCATTCTAAAGCTTTCTAGCACATCATGATAATCTTCCATATGCTCCTGTTGCTCTCAACAAGAAGAATCAGTCTTGGATAGTAAATTCTAGGGAATCTAATCACATGATAGGTGATATCACTGATTTCCAATCCTTCTATATTTGCAAGCACTATGCTGCAGTTAGAATCGCAGATGGCTCACCTTCATAAATGAAAGAATGAGAAAGTGTGAAACACAACAAGGATCTTATTCTTCAATCTATTATTTATGTTCATAAACTTAATTGCAATTTACAGTCTATTAGTAAACTTCTCGTGACATGAATCATGTTTCTAAATTCTATCATAATTTGTGTGAATTTTAGATGATGAACTCAAGAATGGAAATTGAGAGTGTTGATATGTATCATGAACTTTATCTGTTCACCAGAATTTCTAATTCAAAAAGACAATCCCATCATTCACAATCATTTGAGTCATGTACTGTATCAGAGTCTATTTCTCATAATAGTCAAGTTATGTTATGACATTTTCATCGTGGGCATCCTAACTTCTACTGTATTGAAAAATTGTATCCCCATTTATTTATAAATAAAAAACAAAGTTCTTATCAACGTGAAAATTGTTAACTTGCTAAACACACTTGACAAGTATATCTTAAGCCTGAAATACAAATCAACATGTCTCCTCTCCATGATCGCACGCCACGACAGAATCGATCACAGGTGGAGGTGGAGCTACAATTCAAACAGTCCGCCGCTCTCCTAATGGAGTCTGGTGGAGGTGGAGCTAACTCTCACACACCTTTGTTCACGCGACAATTCAAACAGTCCGCCGCTCTCCTAATGGAGTCGCACAAAAAACCGCATGAAGCCCCTTCTCCACTTCGTCTTCTATGTTTGCACTCTCTGTGCTTATTTCCTAATGGCACACCTCGCCCGGTTCGGTCACAATGAACAGTTCAAGCAGCGTTGGTTGCCTGCCCAGCAAGCCGTGGACCCTTCATCGCCTTCCCAGTGAGCCGCATGTGCGTCGTTTCCTTTCCAGCGAGTTGCGATCCCGTCATTGCCTTCCCAGCGAGTCGCAATCTAGTTATTGCATTCCCAATAGCGGTTGATCCACAATCCCTTCATCGCTTTCCAAGTGAGCAGCAATCGCGTCGTTGCCTTGCTAGCCGCGATTGCTTCACGATGACAAAACAGAAAGAAGGTACGCACCTGGTCGCGACTGCTTGCTCTGATCATCACGCTAATCCTGACGCCGGTTGTTAGGGTTAGGCTCTGATACCATATAGAAATAAATTTTTTTGTAAAAATCTTATCTCTTTTCTTCATGAGTAGGGCTTTTATAGAGTCTTACAATTCCTTTTACAAATAACCCCTAGATTTCTTCTATATTCTCTATTTATAATTAGACCCCACAAAATATGATACAAATCTCAATGCGATGTCTATGTTTTATATTAGTGTCTGTAATTCATAGGTCTAAGAAGTTGAGAACATCATGTAATCCTGTGAAAGGACATTGCATGATCATGTGTTAAGTTAAAGTATAGACATTACTAATACAAATTCTAACATAATCTCAAATACAAGCAATACATGGAAAACATTAAAAAAAAAAGAATACTAACAAAATCTGAACAAATTTAAAAATGATAAAGAAATTTTAGGACCAAGAGTGAGAACATAACCTAAAAAATTGGATGCATAAAATTCAAATTGCCATTGGAAATGTCAAAATAGTTGGCTAATGTGATATGCAAATAGAGAAGCTCTCTAAGTCGACCTTGGCAATCTCTGAACACTTGCATAATTTACAATGCCCTCACTCTTATCAATATTTAAAAGGAAGATTTATATACATACCACTCAATTCTTGTGCATACACATATATAAAACCGAAACACAACTTTTACATCTATGCCACTTTAACAATGCATAAAAAAATGTATTCACTCTATTAAATTTAAAATAATGGTATTCTTGATGTGATATGAAAGATTTAGGTGGTATGACTGCAAAAAGCAAAGTTTAAATGTTAGATATGTAAAAACATAAGAATTAGATGGTATGTATGTAAAATGCCCCTATGAAAAAATGCTACTGTGAGTTTCAGCATGTTCAAATTCAACAACTTTAGCATTGCTCATATAACAGTGGCCCATAGCGCAATGAGGTAAATAAATTGAGCTCATGTCTTTGTGAAACTAACCTAATAGATTTATTATCTAAAATTTACTCTTGCCTTAAAGACTAATGAAATCATAATTCAAAACTACAAAAGCCTCATACAAATCAAATAAACAACTAACCACTGTAGCGACCCATCAGCTTGACAACACCGATTCCGTGTTCAATACTCTCAGCTTCAACATGCGCAGCATTAATAGCCCGTTGTGCTTCTTCAACAGCAGTATCGAAACCAAATGATTTGTCAATTACCTAATTCAAAAATTTAAAATTATACGAATAATCAGCCATCCATTTAAGTAGAAAAAAAATTGTAAATGAAAGTGAAAATAAAGTACCGCTATGTCATTATCAATCGTCTTGGGGATGCCAACAACAGAAACTTTGAGGCCACGCCTTTTAATTTCCTGCACACGCTCCAAGATTAAGTCAACATAAATAAGGGTGCAAAATTTCCTGAGCTGCCGTAAGCCCGCCAGGCTAATCCATCATGGGTTTAAATGAATAGATTGAATGCAATTTGATTAAATAAATGGTTCTAATATAAGTCACTATGTTCTCTTTTTTCAACAGATTATTTTTAACATCATTATTAAAATGCCTACCCTTTTTTTTATTGTTTTTCGAAATGAAAAATGCCTATCTTTTGAATTATGAACCTTGTATATTGGCGTAATTTATTCATACGGCTCTTGAATGCATGGTTTTTCTCATTGTAATTTGAGTTTTAAAATGTAATTCAACTGTAGAAGTTATAACATAGTTGTATAAATATTTTGAGACTGAGAGCCCTAAATATATAGGGTATAAACTGCTCAAATTTGTTTATTTATAGTAAATAATACTTTCAATTAAGATACCTAAATTTTCACCAAGTAGAAATTAAGAAGAATAAATATGTGAGTAATCCTTATAATCAAAAGTACTTTGAAATTTATATTAATGAGCAGCATAAAATCACAATACTAAGAATAAAAGTCATGTTTTTTTGTAAAAAAATGTCATCACAGTCAAGAGCATTTTGATCATTCCATTAGAAAGCATACTCAAGTTTAGATTTGCAATGGCCATATTAATAAAAAGATTAACTCTGCCCGGATAATTTTATCAACGCAACAAAGGGCTTGGGCTGTACCACAACGTGGTTAGCCTAATTGACAGCAGCGTAGACTCAGCTGAGTTATAAGATCTTAAATCAACAGAAAATTGCTTCAATAAGAACTCAGAGGAAAGTGAATTAACAGTAGATCTTGCAAATGTTTTCAACTGAACAATGTCTACCAAAGTAATAGTTTAAAATTTTTTAGAGAAATTCACATAAGTGGCACATAATGCTTATGTATTTCAATACCTCACACCTATACTTTCATATTTACATAAATAGCACTTCGGTGGTTTAGAACAAAATTCATATGTATTTCAATACCTCACACCTACACTTTCATATTTACATAAATAGCACTTCGGTGGTTTAAGCCTATGCATGAAAATATGTATTTTACTTTTAAAAAGTGATAAAAGTTTATTTTTAATGTGATATTAAAGATTTGAGTGCTGTGTGGAAATATGACTTAGGTGTGAAATATGTAAATACAATAGAATTGTGAGCTATGTAATGATATAAATTGGTGGGACAAGGATACCAAGAGAGGGAACATATTCTTTAATTACCTCAAAAATAACGGAGGCACCCTTCTGAGTTCCATCCCCTCCTATAATATAGACCTGAAGTAGCAAGTACATATAAACAGCCAGATTCAACGTCAAATGTTCTTTAAGGTTATATATAAGATCACAAAAAAATAAAAATAAAAAAAAAACAGCGAAATATTGTGATTTGTCAAACATACCTGATTGATACCACGATCTTCAATACTATCAACTATCTTTGAAGTGGCATGGCCCCCTCGTGATGTTCCCAGTATAGTGCCTCCCCTTTTATGAATATCATTGACACTTTTAGGAGTCAAAGGAAGAGTATTGCGAGCATAAAAACCTTTGTACCCACCCTGTAAATGGCCACGTTTATATTAATAATGTTAAATGTAAAACAACATCATCATCAGGCATATCCTACTAATTTTGAACCGGTTTTTATGAATAACTCATTCCTACTAAGTGATGAATAAGGTGCTAACCCTATTCTCTGTAAATTATTTTTAACTTCTTCAATCAATGTTATTTGAGATCTACCCATTTTCCTTCTGAATCCTCCAATGCCAATTTATCTATCTGTAAAATGATGTTTTTTAGGTATCATTGTCAAAATATTAACGCTTTAAATAACAAAGGAGCTCTTTGAAAAGCAGTCAAACTGCAATTAACACCAGAGAACCATTTAGCATTCAAAATGACAAATTACAACTAGTTCGTTACTTTGGATCGAAAGTACAAATTCACTAACCTAGGAAAATAAAAATATAAAAACATAACACTGTTATGAAAACTACTAAATTGTCATGTGTCTCTTAATAACCAACTCAATTAAGAGTAAGAAATAAATCTTATTGCTTAAACTAGAAGAAAAATAAGTTCATCCAATGGTTGGAAATGATTTAAGAATTCACGAGGGCTAAAGTGTACTAGATGCAAAATCCATATTACAGGCAATCCTTGAAGGCATAAATAGCTTATTACCTGTTCGGCACAGCTACACTGCAGCGATAGAGTCCGCCAACACATTTTTCACTGTTTGGAAAACGCATTCACGCGAGTTTTAAGTGATGTGGAGCATTGTATTATTGACTTCACACCGCATCCCACAACTTCTATTTTGTGTTTATATTGGGTTATTACTCAGGAGTCCTCTCCTTCTTATTGTTTCCCTCATTCCGCTCTACCCTAACTCGAAGACGAGGGATCCCGAGCGAGGTACCTTCGATCATTATTCTTCTTATCTCATCTCTTTGCTCCGATCTCTCTGGAGTAACATTCAATTATGTCATAATTTTTGTGGGTTGGTTGCTGCCATTTTTTAATATCTCTACATTTTGATTATCTATGTGGAATTTCAATTAGCTATAATCCTCTCTAAAGGTATTTCGAGGGTTGATTTTTGCTATGCAAGACGTGCTAGTTTGAATCTCTCTGCCCAAATTTTTTTTGTTGCTTTCTCTATGGGGTTTCGGTCTCTCTGCACGATGTTTTTTCCATGGGTATTTCGATAACTATGCATTTAAATAGTATATGGGGTGGTTTGCATTTATGTAAGGATTTGATATGGAAAGACATTTTGTTCTTTGTGGGGGTTCAATATCTCTGACAGGAATTTTTTGAAATGTGATAGCATGCATTTGAGTAGTAAATTATGGTTACTATGTTCAAGCGTATTTGATATCTCTGTGGGGGTTCAATCTCTATTTTTTTATTTTGATGTTGAGGAAAATTGATTTTTGTGGCATGCTCTCTGTGGTATTCGCAGATTGATGGTAGTTGTAATATGGAAGTTACATGGGGATTTACATACAAACTGAGCACACAATTCTTATGTGTTTACATTAATATAGAAGTTCGTAGATTGATGGTAGTTGTATTCGTGTGCATTTTACGGTTGAGGCATAATTTGCCTATGTTACTTATATGGAAATAGTGTTGTGCTGCTTTGATGTGGATTTACCAATATGAATGCTAGATGATTATAATGCTCAAATTTTTGGTGTGAGATGCTTACTAAATTCATTAGAATTCTGTGCTACGTATGTAAATAAGCTTGTTGGATGATTGGATTATGTGGGGTTGTTGTATGATGATATGTGAATTTGGCGTATGCAAATTGGATGTGGGGATGGTGTATGCTTATACGAAATTACGTTAAATGTTTTAAGGAAATTTACAAACATAGCACACAATTATTATGTGTTTACATTCATGGCAGCTATATGCATAAATACGAAAGTTTAGATATGGATGGTATCTGTATGTGTGCATTTTACTGATTTGGTATATGCCAGTTGAATATGTGGGTTGGTGAATGCTACTTAAATATGTGGTAGTCTTTGTATGGCAGTAATCAATACATATGCACTATCATTTCAAAACAAATACGAGGAGTAATCAACATATATGCTATTCTTTTTTATTTTATAACGTTAGAATCCGAATTGGATGCTTAGCTCTCATGGTTTTCTTCTAAAGTTTCCTAAAACATACATCCTTAGCATCTTTTGTTTAGTAAATCATTAAAAATATATGTAATATTTTTTCAATATGTCATTTATTAAGAAGTAGTTGTTGTCAGTCAATGATATCAATTGATTTAGCATATGTGCATGTACAATTCTCTCATATTAAGTTTGCTATGATTATTAGTAGTTTGAGAATTGAGAAAAAAAAATGTTATGTATGCTTCACCTCCTCTCTCACATCCACTTCTTCTGTAAATGTTTATACATTATCACTAGTTTTTCTTTTTCTCTCTCGTCACATTAGAGGTTTAAATGGGCAAGACGAGAAAGTGGAGCTTCTGCAATATGAGAGAGAGATAAAGATAATATTTTATGATCTTTATTTAAAGAAAGTTGAATTGAAAAGTAGGTTCAAGACGTCTTTTCAACAAAAAAAAATGGATGCTAATAAAAAGTTTTAAAGAAAGAACTGTAAGAGAGTACATATGATATGATACAACTAAAGAATAAGTGAAATTAATTAATGAATGAATGAAATTTATAAAAAAAAAATTAAGGCAATAAGCTATAGGTCTTGGTTGGGATCACACAAAGCTGACTATTGATGCATCTGAACATTGTGAAAAGAAAAATTAGATGTGAATTGTGCTTTTAGTTAAGTTATTCCACATAATTATGTTAAATCATGCTCTAAATCAATATTTCTTATTTTCTATTACTTATAGGTCATGCCAAATGCGAAAAAAATTAAATTTAGTAGCATTAACCCATATTTATGAAACAGGTAGATAAAATGTTTGGTGGAGTCATTGCCACTGGTGATCAGGTATGGAGCCCAAGTCAAAGAGCGAACATTGATGTACTTAAACCAGTAGGTTATGAGCAGAGAGCCGAATCAAGTGTAGGATGGAGAGATTGTTGGAGATACGATTCAAATGCAAGAGCAGATAACAAAAACATTAGTTAATGATTGATGATTATATATTATTATATAATGGCATGTGATTAATTTCCTTATGTTAACTCTTTCTTCAATGATTTTTATGTGGAACATTTTATAATTTATTGTGTTATTTTTCACTAGCACCTTGTGTTTTATCCTACTTGGATGACCTCCTAGGCAGTCGTGGTGTGATGTAAGTTTTTTCTATGGTTTTTGGTTTTGAGGTCTATGATGAGATATATGACCTTAGGGGTTCTTCTGGATGACATTTATATTGCTCTAACTTTTGACATAGATGAGTTCCAATGCAACCAAGATCCCCTTCTTTTTAGTCATATGACTAAAGGTGTTCTTCTGGAGAGTCTTTCTGTCAATATGTTTTTGTGACAAATACGAGTTCGGTATTACATGGTTGAAGACAACTAAGATAATTTTTTAGGTCTTCTATATTCTTATAATAACAAATTATTCATTAATTTATATTTGTTCCAAGATCTCACTTTTTTATAAATCTATCGTTGTATTTGAGTTATTCTTATTTATTAATTTATTTTATAACTTTATCATTGTATTATTAATAGAAGCTCGTTTTATGTTTGAAATTTTCACAATTCAGTAAAATATGAGTTCGAGGACTTCTGTTATTTATAGAGTTTGCAACTGTAGATTGCAATATTGTCCATTTACATCACAAAGAGAATATAACCATAAAAGAGAAATTTATAGTTGTCTAAGGAATAGAACAGGGGAAGACTCTGGCTTCTTTAAGTGGGTTGATTAGTTCAAAGAGTCTAATTTAGATAGTGACCATGCATGGAGAATATCTTTGAAGAAAAGGTTTTCAAGATTGATTTTTTGGACTTAAAAATTAAGATTATGATAATTTTATTTGTTGTCCTAGTATTTTTTTTATTTTTGTTTTGGTTGTTTGTGCAACTCACTCTTAAGTGAGATATAATTTTTTGATGTAATATTTGAAGTTGTTAATTTTTGGGATTTCTCAATTTATTTTATTTTTCATACATGAGTTATTAATCATGAAATGGTTATCGCGTAAGCAACACAAATATGCAAGAGCAATACTATCTTTTTTTCATAAACAACTGCAGAGCAACTGACGCACAACTAAACTAACCAAAAAGACAGACAGTTTCACCAACAGCTTCCCCGCAGCAGCTTATTCTGTGGTTGTTGCGCAACAACTTCTTCCGATAGTTACAGCCCAAATAAACCCTCAATTATAAATTTAATATCAAATTATTAATGTTGGTTACATTAGACAAAACAGACAAAATAGCTGTCAAAATCAATTTCAACCCCTATAGAAGGAGACGAAAGTAGAAAGCTCTAATAAATCAAGAGCAAAAATTTAAACTTTAAAGACCTTAGCACGGACATTGATATCATGAATCTATGTGAAGAAAACATTTTCTATAATCAAAATTATTAATCTCACCTCTATTCCAAGGATCTTGGAAACACCATACATATATGCCAAGCCACAAACTATCTCCCTAATAACAGTATTAAGGCCGGGGCAGAGGCCACCACAGGTTACAATGCAAGCATGTACCTCATCTGACTCAAAATAAACCTGACCAAATCCATATTCCAAAATCTCTCATCAGCTATAGTCAAAAATAATTTGAGACATTTACATACATATCACTTAATGCCTATGTATTTACATATTCAACACCTAAACTTTGCTTTTTACATTTATACCACCCAAATCTTTCATATCACATAAGTATAAAAAATAAAAATAAAAAAAAAAAAAACCACCATTTTAAGTTTTAAAAAGTGAGGTTCCAGTATGCCTTTTTATGCATAGATAAGGAGGTATGCATATAAAACTTGATTTTTAGGTGTTAGATGTATAAATATATATAAACTGAGTGATATGTATGTAAATCTTCCGTTATAATTAACGCAATAAGCATTGAGTGCACACAGCCTACCCTTTGGCGAGGCCCAGCACGTCGAAAATGGGTCCCTCTAGGGCTGCTCTTGTGAACCACAATCTGAAAACAGTCAGAAAACAGATAAGTAGCCTGAATTATCAAATATATTAATTCGTCCTTATATATATATATATATATAAAACTCAAGCAGGGGGCAAATAAAATCACCTGCTGTGCAACTGTATCATCGACGTTGACAAAATACTGCCTGGAAGTAGAAGTATAGGAAGGTAAAGTTAATAACAATTTTCACTGTAAGAGATGTTTTCTACTATATATTTAAAAATATGTACAAATTTCATTTCAAAGCCATACTTCACAACTGAATATGCTGGATTATCCTGGAGAGGATTCGGATATGTCTGCAAAGCAAAAAAAAAAAAAAAGAGGGAGATAAAAATCGGTAAGTCTTAGTAGAAGATTTCCCAAGTTAATCAAAATAACCATAACCACAAAATAATCAGAAACAAAGTAGATTTCTGGAATAATCGTGAAAAACTCTCAGGAACAACGAATTGATTAAGGACGTCTTCCTCTAAAACCAAATTTCATACAGCTAAAAAATATTCACAATCCGTTTTCCAATTTAAAAGAATCTGCAGGCGATGAAAGCTCCGCTTCAGCCTTAGCAGGGGAGGAAAAAAAACGAAAGGCGCGGCGCGATTACATGATTACCCTTAATACAAAATTCTTCTCCCGTTTAAAAATCGACAAGGGGGAGGAGAACAAAATGAAACCAAACTCAGCAGCCAGATGTAATGAAATCATCTTATCAAAAATAAATATACAGAAAACTCACAGGCAAGCCAGAAACGTAATCCGAAAGGTGCGGCACATCCTCCAGCACATAACCAGATTCTCCATGGACAAGCTTCCGCATATTCCCAAACTCCGGGGCCATCGCCCTACCACGTCGAAGCCTAAGTTTCCTGTCAGGAATCGCGTTAGTAGGACAAATCGGACTCCTTAAACCCAAGCTGCGGTGTGATTTTTGAGAAACTAAGGAATTAGACATGGATTCCATTATTGGACATTAGAAGAAGAATCAAAGCAGGTGAAGAGATTTCGATAAAAAGTTTTCGAGAGAGAAGAACTAAATACTTTTTATAGGCGACGGGAGGAGTTAAGCGGCCTGGGTTTTGTCGGTGGGTTTGCTTGAATTAGGACTGGTGGCGATTGGGTGTTCCGAAGAAGTAGTAGGAATTGGGGAAGAAGAACCAGAGGGAAAAGAAGGAGTTAGAAAACCGCAGGCCCACCTTTGTCCGAAGAACTTGGGTGCTTTATTTACACGTGTGTGACTTTCCTCTAAAAAAGTCTTTCTTTTCTATTTTTAAATTGACGCATATAAACTTTTACAGGGGACCACATAAACATTAAATATTTATAAATTGCCCCTCTTTGGAGGCAAATAGCAATTTGCTGTTAGCTCCCTGCTCGCTCGAAGTTAATTTAAATATGACTACATATAAATACATATAAAAAATTAATATAAAAAGATATAAAAAAATTTCATTATTTAATTATTTCGAGTCAAAACAGACCGAACATGAAAGAACTAGCATTTATTTGTGTCCGACTGATTTATAAATCGAGTTAAAAAAATTTTCATGTCCTGCTCGTTTGCTTAACGAAAGAATTGAACACGAGTCATTTAACAAGCCGAACACGAACTGCTCACAAACAACGAACATTCTTGACCGCTCTAATTGGCGAACTTTAAAGTTACACCATGAAAATATTTTAAACTTATTTACATACAGAGCATTTACATAAATGAAATAAAACTATATAAACTTTAATGTCTTTACTACATACATAAACTCTTCTGCTGTTATTTCATGATCATTATATTTATTCCTAATATTGAGGCATTTTCTATTTTAATTGCACTCTTCTCCTATTATGTTAAATCATTGATGCCTTGAAAGTGATAATAGAAATACATACAAAGGCAAGTCGGCCTCATGTGGATGCAACAACCTCTTGTGAATCTCACGAGCTTTTCAAACATGCGTTGTCGCTACATATGTAAGGCCCACCTTAGAAGAGAAGCTCCCATAAATTGGCACCAAGCCATCACATGGAGACAAAAATGGGTATTTCAAAGCGGGAATACTTCACCATAAAAAAAGTTTTATTTTAGGTTAAAAGCTCATTGGTTAAAGTGTCCATGAAAGAGATCAATACATTAGGGCTGTCGAAATGGCTCGTTGTTCACGAGCTGTTCATGTTCGGTTCATTAAGAAGCTCGTGTTTGATTCGTTCACTGAGTTAACGAGCCCGAATCAAACACAAATAAAGATTTGTTCATTAATGTTTGGCTTGTCTTGGCTCGAAAAGCTACTCATTAATTATATCTATATATCTATATCTATCTATATTTATATACTTTATATAT